TCTGACAGAGGAAAGAAACAAAATATTTGCCCTTGCTAGCAGTAATGGGTAAAATAATATGGCCAGAAAAGTGGACAGGGAAAGCACTACCCAGATCAGAAGGCTGTATGTTAAAGGAAAGAGCACTTCTGGAGAATTTAGATCTAAACCATTGTCTTGCCTAGTTTGCTGATTAAATGTTTGTGGTAGTCATAATTATATACGTGAGCTCAGTCCTGAAACAAAACAGCACCAAAAATGAATTAAAGAATAGTATGAGATCACTCGGTTGTGAATCAGTAACTCGGTTTAAAAGTGTGGCTTGACTCTCAAGTCAAAAGACTACTCACTTCACTTTAGGTTGGGGTTTTTTTTCATTCGTTTAATTCTGGACGCTCATATTCCTGTGGCTTCGTCATTCATGTCTGACAGGTTTTTCTTGAAACAGGTAAAGCTAAAGCCTGAGTCTGGGAGTTAGTGCTCTGGGTTTGGTTTTGTTTTTTTTGTTTTTTTTTTTTTTCAGTTTCTCTCATTTATCTGAGTCTTCTTGAAGAGTTTTGTGTGTGATAACTTCACTTTTTTAATGCCTTCCTCTCTGAACTGAGTATCTGCCCCTATAGAAGATCAGAAACTAGTTCTTACTTTTTAGATCCACTTTAAAAATTTTTGATAAAAGGTGATGGAGCAGTTACTGGTGTTATTTTTCTGGTACTACTGATGATATTATATCCTCAAGTTGAAAGGGACTGCTGCTGATGTTGAGGTACAGAGTGTTTGTTCAGCTGTCTATATGTTTTTTGTGGTTTTTGGGTTTTTTTTAGGCTCTTTTACCTATGGCAAATGTGGCCATGATTGACTATACCTTGGAGTTCCTAACAGCAACAGGAGTGGAAGAAACCTTTGTTTTCTGCTGTTGGAAGTCAGCTGAGATAAAAGAGCATTTACAGTAAGAATCTCTTCTTTCTTGTAGCTTTATCATGGAAAGGATTCTTCTGTCCTCCAACAAGCCTCAAAGGTCTCACTGATCCTTGTGATGAAAACTCTGTGCAAGAGATTCCCTTTCAACAGTTGTCTCCTAGCATATCTCAAAAAAGACCATTCCTCCTGTGAAGGGATGTGGTTGTGCAGTGTATTAAAAGGGTTGTGTTTTGGGGCTGCATTTATATTGGCATTTAGCTTTTCTTGTCTAAATGCAGGGGTTTCCTGTGGGTAGCCATGTAAATTAGAGTACCACCCTTTACATTATGCCCTGTCTTGGTATACCATGTGGAATATGGAAACAGCTCTCTCGGCACCTTTGCCTTTGCATGCTGCAGGTTTGCAAGCTAAAGAGAAGCATGCAGTCTTTTCCTTGCCTGAGGTACTGCTTTCCAAGGAAAAAAAGTTTGGGTTGTGTGTAACTTTTCCTTCTCCTTTGTCAAAACTCGGCTCGCAGTAGAGTCGAGTTTCCTAAGTTTCCATAAGCCATGGTTAGACTAAAGTTTAACCCTCTTCAGTTCACCTGCTGTGTGCAAATGAGCATACCTAAGCCTATCGATAGCGGGCTCATTGTAATAGGATTCTCCGTGCATTCGCTTACGGTACCCCAGTGCACGCCACATCTGTGTCCTAGTGTGTTCTCTATAGGAATATCCTCTTTACACTTTCCTGATGTGTTTTTCTCCTTCCAGAAAATCCAAGTGGTGCCGCCACACCTCTCCCAACACGGTGCGCTTTGTGACTTCTGACCTGTACCGCTCCCTTGGTGACGTGCTACGAGATGTTGATGCCAAATCCCTTGTTCGTTCCGACTTCATTCTCGTCACTGGCGATGTGGTCTCCAATTTTAATATATCCAAAGCCCTTGAAGAGCACAAGTAGGTGTTGAAAGAGAGTGTGTTTGCCTGCTGTACTGAGACTCTGGGCTCTGACTTTCTGAAGAGTGATTTTAAGGTTCTGCCCTTTTTTTTCAGGTTGCGTCGTAAGATGGAAAAGAATATTTCTGTGATGACGATGATATTCAAGGAGTCCTCGCCTGGTCACCATGCCAGGTGCAAAGAGGATGACATTGTTATTGCTATGGACAGTGCCACAAACCGTGTCCTTCACTACCAGAGAACCCAGGGGCTGAAACGATTCCGCTTTCCTATGGTGCGTCTGGAACATGACAGGTGGAAAAGGGCTGCGGTAGTGAAGCAACCCACCTCAAGGAGAAGGTCCTCCTTGAGTGAGGGCTGGGGAACTGTGCTTGCTGCTTCTTTTGGAGGAGCAGGTGATAGGAAGTAACTCTTGGTAAACTGGCTTTTTTTTTTTTTTCTTTAACCTTTATTTGAGGCTTGGTGAAATTGTGCTGGGATACACATGTTTGGGACTCATTTCAGAGTTCGAAGATAGGACAGACCGATTTCTCACAATTCAGTTTTTGCGTTTATTTGATTCCTTTTCTCCTTGTGAAACAAGGGAGGTGGATGATTTGTGCTGTCACAGGGGTTCCCAAATTGGGATGCATATACCACTGTCATACACAAACCATTTTGAAGTGGCACTGAGCCTGGCATGATGGGTGGAACAGCAGCAGATGCAAGGGGTAGTACCTACTATTACCTCTGCCTGTACTATTCACCTAATAATGTAGTAAATGCCCTGTAAATGTGGAGGCGCTTTCTCCAGTAAGATAGATGGACCTTTTTCTTTTTTCAACTCGGAATTAAGACTGTGGTTATATGGCATTTTCATCCCCAAATCGGTAATCAGTAGATTATTTTTTACCTTCAAACGAAAGCACAAATCACTGTAGGAAACCAAAAAGGAAAAAAAAACCAAACAAAACCCAACATCAACAAAAAAACAACCCACAGCTGTAAAAATCCACAGGGGGTATGGAAGCTATACCTATTGCATTTTCACTTATCAATGTTCTTTGTACATTTGTAGCTCCCAGTGACTTAAGGTAAGGAGCCTCCTGGAGGAAAAGTGATTGTTTGAAGTACAAGCTGTTTCTTGGAGAGCTGCACTGTGTAAGGACGAGGGCAGACTCTGCTGACTGAAACGCAACTCTGTGTGACCAGGCTGTGCCTGCTAAGCTTGTGTCTCAGTAGATTGTAGATTTCTCTGATCTTCAGAACTTCAGCTAATTTAATAATTCAATCAATACTGCCCCGGCTTATAGAAGGCTTTTGGGGTTTGGTACTGTGTGAGGCACTCAAATCATCTGAATTTTTTCCTCTTTCAGAGTTTGTTCCAGAACTCTATTGAGAACGTTGAGGTGCGCCATGACTTGCTGGATTGTCATATCAGCATCTGCTCTCCACAGGTGAGCTCTGCCCTTCTGAGGGTCTAAAATTCAATCTGCATTGCTCCCTCTGTACTGCTGGTGTGCAGGGGATGCATGTGGCCTGAGTGTCCTAGGTTTGGAAACTGTAACTCCCAGCTGTGGTCAGCGACTGAGCTGAGAGCCCGAGTGATGACATGGTGCTGTTCTGCCGACTGTTTGGGGGCACAGTCTGTATCTGGCGTCCACTGCTCGAGCCCAGGCAGAGCTAGACAGTGGATGCATTGGTAGACTGGCTGATTTGGCACAGGATGAAACCATTCTGGAAATCACTTTGTGATTTCACTTCAAGTGTAGCAACATCTGTGGAGCAGAGGTGATGGCTATGCTATGGAAAAGTGTCAGTACTTGCGAGCTGGTACCATGTTAGAGTAACATTCAGGGTTATTCCAGCCTAAGCTCGCTAACATCTCTTCCACATCTAAAAAAGCTGGTCTACAGCCTTCCTTAGGGAGTGAAACTACAAAGTGAGGCTGGGGGGATTGCTTGGAAACACTAAAGCAATGTTTTGCCCTTTCTGAAAACCAGAATCTGCCCATAGTCTCCATTAGGAGGAGGAGGTGGGAAGGTCAACACTCCTAGCAGAAGGAATCAAAACTTTATTCAAGGCAAGAGCATCACTTCCCTATACTGTATAACTCGTCTTTCTGAGAACCACTGAACAGCCATTATCTGGCTTCCCTAGGAACATTTTCTGCTAACTATATTATTTCCTTGTATTTTATTCATGGCAGGTGGCTGAGCTGTTCACAGACAATTTTGACTACCAGACACGGGATGACTTTGTCCGTGGTCTGTTGGTGAATGAGGAGGTAAGGAGGGGGTTGTTACAAGGGAGATCCTGTTACCTTGCATTAGAGAATCTTCTGACATGCTCCTGCCTGTCTACCAGGTCTTGGGGAACCAGATCCATATGCATGTAACGACAGAAGAGTATGGTGCCCATATATGCAACCTGCTGATGTATGAAGCTGTGTGCTCTGACATCATCCGGCGCTGGGTTTATCCTTTGACTCCAGAGATGAACTTCACTGATGACAAGAATCAGAGTTACACCCATTCTAAACACAACATTTACCGAGGGGTGGATGTTAGCCTCGGCCACGGCAGCGTGCTGGAAGAGAACGTACTGATTGGGCAGGGAACGGTCATTGGCAGCAACTGCTCCATAACAAACAGCGTTATTGGGCAGAACTGTAGGATAGGTGAGTACAAGAATGGGGGACGTGCAGGCCTTGTCAGGCAAGGGCACAGATTGTTGGGATTTAGTGTCCACAGTGCATTTGGGTGAGTGAGGTTGATAGGTGGTTGGCTTCTGATGAGAAGAAAGGAGAAAAGCTTGGTTTTCCAGCAGAGGAAAGAGATAAAAAATTTCAGGGTACCATAAAGATGCTGAAAGGTGGAAGGCACTTAATGAAAACAAGTTGTTTCAGCAGTAGAGGTGCATGACCTTTACTGATCTAGAGTTCTCACCCACCAACATCCTGCAAATGAGGGACATCTGCCTCTCTTTTTGTGAGCTGCCTGGTACTCCTTCTTCCTAGTCTTGGCTGGAATTTTTTTGTGATTTGGTTGTATTTGTGCAAAACCAAGATGTCAGTTGTCACTGTCAACTTGTTCAGTCTCTGTAGAGAGCAAACTCGTCTTTTAGCTTTGGGTAAGAAGTGGACGTAGGCCTCTGAGGCCAATTTTTACCTTTCATCTAACATCCATCATGCATCAAGAGCATTGGGATTCAGTAAGATGCTTTCTAGCGGACTCAGCAGTGTGGGAGAGCAGCAAACTGCCTTGCTCAACATCTTTGTGCTTGGTGATGTATAACAGGTGATAAAGTCATTTTGGATGGAGCTTTTCTCTGGGACAGAGTACACATAGCAGATAATGTGGAGATCCGCCATTCTGTTATCTGCGATGAAGCTGAAGTGAAGGAGAAAGTAAAGCTAAAGCCCCGCTGTGTCCTCTCTTCTCAGGTGAGCTGTACTTATGTCTGTTCTGCTTTCTGTCTTTCTTGGCAAGTTAGTATGCTTAATCTGGACCATACCAGGATACAGGGCTGCTCCAAGCCTTTTTGCAAATGTAGGGGATATGCTACTACTTGCACGTTTTTCTTCCTCTTGTTTGGCTAGGGTAGTATGGTATGTGACCTAGCAGTGCTGATGTCTTCAGTTATACTTGTTAGTATACAGCTTGTCTGGAGCAGCTGTTAACAGTCCCTGCTGGTGGAGGTACAAGGGGGCAATCAGGGTATTTCTTCATTAAGATATGTTGCACATATTTGCAGGTAGTAGTAGGTCCTGGCATCACTCTTTCTGAGGGCACAGTGATCTCTCTGCACCCGCCAGATGAGGAGGAAGAGGATGATGACCAGTTCAGTGATGATTCTGGCGTGAACAAGGAGGAAAGCAAAGTGAAACTGAAAGGTATGAGAGTCTCTGGCTCCATGCACTCAGGCTATGCAGAGGGCTTTGCTTTCCATGATCTTTTGGGGTCTTTCCCTCCCCCATTTTAGACTCTGCAGTGCCAGACTAGAGCTTAGTGCTGCACTCAGCTTGGAATATGTGTGTTTTCAGTAGGGCAAGCAAGGATATCTGGCTCAAGTTGGACAGTGAGATGTATCTCAGTACCCCAGTATTAAAATCTTTGGCGACTCAGCTATTTTCCATTTTTCTTAGAGTAGGAGGCTTGTAGGAGACAATAAGCTGAAGTTGGAAGAGATGTTTGGTTCAAGGCAGGTTGCAAGAGCTATGTCCTTGTACCTGGACTGTGTCCAAGGACTTTGTCCTTGTGAAGTACTGTTTCTACCAGTCTGGGTTTGTCAAGGGATCTAAATGTGCATTCACATAATTCAGCATTAGCTGAATGTTGCTGCTGTAGGGAGGAGTAAGTCAGTCAATTACCAAGGCAAGTGAGAAGATAAAAACTGAAATCTGTATGCATCTGCAGGAATCCCAGTGCCCTCTTGATGGAGGATATTTAGAGGCAGTAATATCCAGGTTATACCAGTCTATTTCAGGTTTGCCTGTAAGCAGATCCAGTACATCTGCCTCCTAATCGTTGTTTCTTTTTCAGGGTACAATAAAAAGGATGTAGGCTCAGAGGGCAGAGGCTACCTCTGGAAAGCAGATGACAAGAATGAAGAGGATGAAGAGCAGAGACAAAGCCTATGGGGTGAGGAAAGGTTTAGTGTAGTCACCTGGGGATGGACAGACAGACCTGTGTTGGGGAAACTTGGAACACTGATAATTTATCTAGAGTAAGCCCTGGATTTTGTGAAGCAGGATGATATATGTGTGTGGAGGCAAGGTGAGAGGTGAAAGCAAGTGATGGACCAGATTCTCTCTTTTCCTGTGCTCTGTGAAAGACGTTTATTATATCTTTGACTTAAGCTAACCCACACAGCTGTCTGTGCTGTGAATGGCACACAATGGGATACCAGGCCCTCCCTTAGGGAATATGCTTTGGCTATTCCGGGTACTGCTGACTTTCTTCCTGCTAGTGACAGTGTCTGCTGACATTACTCCATCATGAGTCAGCAGTCTGTGCAAAATGCATTTGGTTCTGTCCCTTTTCCTTTGTTGTCTGCCTGCAGACTCGAGTCCCATTATCCTAATGCCAGCTGTAGCATTCCCTCTGCAGCAAATCTGATCATCTGGACCTGTAAGTAGAAGCTTCCTTGCAAGGACAGATAGTTGCTGACTTGGTTGGGAAGTCCCTGGGGCAGGTGGTTCCTCGTGCATATGGCAGCTGCAGCTTTTGCGTGTTGAATGCTGCATCTTCTCTTCTTTATCAGGCCCAGCCATGTATTCAGAGGAAGAGAGCGAGTCAGACAGCGACCTGAGCATGGGCTCTGAGGAGCCAGACAGTCGGGCAGCGTCCCCTCAGCTAGATGACATCAAAGGTGAGAGATGGGCTGTTAAGAAGTATGCTGAGTCTGCAGATAATGCAGTGAATGTGAGATTTGTGCTGCTTTCTGTAGGTATATTGGAAAATTTGTGGATGTCTGTAATATGTTTGCTTCCTGACCTCACTTCCTACATTTTCTACAGAGTTCTTTAATATTCCTTGTGTTGCTGTTGTGTTAACCCAAGGCAGCCAAGGATGAGAAGCTAGACAAAGGTCCTCCAGCTTTCTCACTCCTGATCACTGGGCCTTCATGAAAGTGACCTCCTTGAGTTGTCTGTTTAAATGGCAGTGTCATTGCCTAACTCAGAGATTGTGTGAAGATCCGGCAGAATTTCCCTGTGTGGACAGATTACTGCTGTAATCGTGCTGGAGAATTAAATGTCCCTGTAGGAGCTGCCTCTTTTGGCAGATACGTTTTGGTTTTCTGTTTTGTGTTAAGCTTACCTGGATTTGAAAGAGAGAGATTCAAGCCAAATTAAAAAAAAAAACACAACACCAAAAACCCAAAACTTTTTTCATGTTAAAATATCTCCCCAAAGGAAATTAAACCAATAAACTTTAGGTTTGAGTTCATATCAGTAGTTAGGAGAAGATGAGGTTTGTCTGAATAGGAAAGGCTAGATTGTGAGAGTACAATAGAAACTCTGCTCTAAAAGGTTGTGGAGGTAAACAGCTTTGTACTGGTTTGTGTGGATAGATCAATGATATCTAGTAGATAGTCTCCTTTATTTGAATTCTATCCCACTATTTATAAGTATAGCTGATGTGAGTTTGTGCCAGCTTACGGAGAACAGGTAGACATCTGTGTCAGAATGCTTCCTTTGTTAAGGGCATAGTTTCTTCAGTAGTGAACAGTTTGAAGAATCTGTGCTTTTCCCTCTCCTGTCTAACTACCTGTCCTTTCTTTCATTAGTTTTCCAGAATGAGGTTCTGGGTACATTACAGAGGGGCGAAGAGGAAAACATTTCTTGTGACAACCTGGTCCTGGAAATCAACTCCCTCAAGTGAGTATTCCCTTAGGGATGCTGTCCCTTAGGCTGAACAGTTGGGTTTGACAGCAGATCTAGAAAGAAGAGAAAGCATGTGAATACCCATGTTTGATTGCTAACATTAATTTTATCAGTATAGAGCATGAGAAATACAAATTAGAGATCATGATTGAATGACAACAGGAGTTGATGGAGAGCAGCAGCTGCATCTGTAGCATGCTCAGTGGTTAGGCTTTTCCTGCCCCAATTTGTAATGAGATTGAATTGCTGTGAACTGAAGAGAGCAAGCCAGTTCTTGGCACAGACTGCTTATAAGTTCATGCAGGGGTTGCTGCTCTGTGCATTGCAACGTTCAACCAGCTGCCTGCAGCTGGGGCTGTGCTGTGATGTGGCTTGGCCACTCTGTTTTTACAGCAGCAAGTCTAGAACACGTAATGACAGTCCCTTTTACCTAGTATTTCTCAAATACAAACCTGTTTTCCTTCTTTTGTGCAACAGTAGTCCTACAGTGCTCTAGTAAATGTGAGTGTGCTGTCCCTGCAGCAGCCTGTTCCACTGTGGTAGCAGATTTTGTAGGACTTGTGGCGTTATGCAGGGCCTGATGCAATGCAAGGTGGTTTTATTGCCTGAATATTTGGAAAACCAAACAAATAAATAAAGAACAAGTTTGGAAGATGAAAATCAAATTTTCTGCTGTATCTACGTGAAGAGCCACAGTCTGCAGAGATCAGTTAGTGTGAAATTGTTGGGGGTTTTTGCCTTTTTCATTGCAGGTATGCATATAACATTGGCCTGAAGGAGATGATGCAGGTGCTCAGTAAAGTGATCCTGGAGTTCCCACTGCAGCAGCTGGATGCAAACCTGGACTCCCAGAACTATTTCTCAGCGTTACTTCCTGTGAGTCTTGTTCCATTTGACTCTTCTTTGGGCTTGTCTTCTAGTGTGTAGGAGTCTGTCTGCTTCTCAGCGTTACTTCCTGTGAGTCTTGTTACGTTTGACTCTTCTTTGGGCTTGTCTCCTAGTGTGTAGGAGTCTGTCTGGATGCCCCAGGTAGTTCCTGGCTGAGAAGTCTTTTTGGTTAAGCCTGAGGCCAGTTGAACTCCTTGAGTTCATGAGCCTCTTTGTCTTCTATAGAAGTGAAAGTGAGCTGAGATTATTGTACCTGATTGACAGAACTCAACTGTAGGTGTGGGGAGCTCTACTTCAGTACCTGTGGTTGTTTCTGTTTCCTGTGTGTGATAGTAGAAGTGCATCACTTGTAGAAGAGAAAAAAGAGGGACTGTTAGAGATGTCTTTACAGGCTTGCATTCCAGGAACCCGGTACCAGTCCATCATAAGCCCTGTCCCTGGGGCAGCAGGGAGCGCTCCTCTCCCAATGGGATCCTTTCCAAGGTCTTGCTTGTCTGCATACTGTAATTGGTGCCAATTTTTTTCCAGCCAAATGCAAAGGCACGATATTGTTGTCTTTGAGCAAAGATATAAAGTTCTGTTGTGTCTCTAAAGAGTCGGGTGGTATAATTGGGTAAGAGCAACTTCTATTTCCTGGCTTAGAGGAGACAAAATAGGGTAGTATCAGCTTTAAAAAACAGGCAATCTTATCTTAATGGTTTTGTTGATCCAAGCTGAAGCCATTGTAGCATTTTGTGTCTTTGCTATAACCTATTTCTGTATTTGAATTTGCAAACTCTACAAGGCACAAAGGTGCGCTTTCAGAATGAATGGGTCTGACACATGTTTGGGAAGGGCTAGTTTAATTTTTTTAGGAGATGGAGCTAAAGAGGAGCAGTAGACGTCCTCATAATCCTTTCTCTGAGGAAGCGTGTGCTTTCAATTGATGAGGAAGTGTGGAAAACTGATTCTTTATGTAGGTGTAAGCGTGGCACTTAATTAATCTCCTGGACATGTGGAGATGCCTTCTGTAGGAAACATCCATGTGAACTGATCTGTTCATCAGATGACTTAGTGAGATTTTGCTGTTCACTCTGTTTAAATTCTGCTTGCTTTTGTTCGTTTTTCCAGACTTTTCTTGAATAGCATGTCCTGTCCTGGAAAAAGAGAATTGAAGGAGGAGAACTGAAGAGAACGTTAGAGCAGATGTTAGACTCTAAGTGGAAAATAGTACATCTAGAGAACAGGTTGTGTGGAGTTCGTAGCTATGTAGGATGTTTTTTGTTTGATTTTGGGTTTTTTTTTTTTCCCCAGCTACGATATGGCTTATCTTTCTGTCTCCCAGACTGGATCCTAATCTAGCACTAATAGAACAAGAGAACTTCACTGCAGCACCCAGTCGGAAGAGGTTCTAGTCTGGAATAAAGGATACTATATAAATGCATAATGTTTTGTGTAATTGCCCAAAACCCCTTAGAAGCTGAAGATGATGGAAGTACTTGAAGGGCTTACCTTTGGGTAACTTTGTCCATGTATATTTCATCATAGGAAAGTTGATGCTCATGTTTAACAGCAGAGACAGCAAATCAACTCACCTTCAGTGAGAAGCAATAATAACCTAAATGTAATATTCAGGGTGACCATGTCCCTTATCATGGACAAGTGGAATTCCTCTAGGCAGGGAATTGTGTGGCATGTGCATTTATGAAACACAAATTATGCTGAGATTTATCAGAGAGAGCTAAGTGTCAAACCAATTGACTATCATGGCAGCTAGTTTCTCCAGATGCTTCTTTGTAAAGAACAACCAGTAAGTTTCTTAGCGAATCCTTCTCTGGGACAGCTTTGTACCTTGATGTCCCTACTGTGTGCAGAGTTGTTGTGCTGGTTTTCTGTACTGAAATCATGAGGAAGGCAGTATCCTGGTGAGGTGTACTCTTAATGTTCAATTGCACACATGGTGTTAGTCACTGTTACGATAACCCAATATGTATGAGTTGAGATGTGCCTCTAATGGAGGTAGTGAATCAACCTTCAAAGGCTGATAAAACAGACATGGATGGTCTTCCTGGGCAGCATCTTTGTGCCTTTACCAACAGTGCTCTGAAGAGAAGACACCAGTTCTTCAGGCAGAACATGCATGTTTGTACAGCATCTGAAACAGGGGCTTTTCTGCAACTTGTGGTTCCCTAATTAGTAAAAAGTACACTCCATTAATTTACTGATACTTGGGTACACCTTGAGAAATCTCAAGCACTAGCTTGCTATAGGTTAGTGCGTAATGATAGCAAGTAGCTGAAGTGCGTAGCTATGCAGCTAAAGCTGCCTCAGTCAATAGCGCTATTAGGCTGAGATCTGCTTATGATGGTTTACATATGGCAAAGTGTTATTTTGTATAAGATGGGGATACTTCTGTTCTGAGAGTGGTGGATATCAGAAGCCCACTGAACTTTACAAAACTGTTGTGTTTCTCACTCCCTTTGTGGCTCAACTCTAACTAAGAGATGCTGAAGGAAGATGGGTTGCTTGTGTAAGAGTGATGGTAAATGCAATAGTTATGATGTATGGTTTGACTTGAAACCACAGTATGTGCTCTGAAGCACTGGCCCCTGAGCATGAAGATCTTAAGTGTTGTGGCAATTTTAGGAAACAAGCATCCAGTAAAGGATATACCTGTGGGTGTTTTTCAGATGACACATGGAGACTTGAGAAATACAGTTATCCAGTTCGATGTATGTCAGGTGTCTTGTTCAGCTCCTATAAAATTTGTAAAGCAGAGATACAGACGTTTCTGGTACAGAAGACCAGACCTTTCCTAGAACTGTAGACGTGACTTGAGCAAACGTGGCTGAAGCTGCTGATAAACCCCAGGCTGCGCTTCTGTTGTCACTGAAGCAGCATCAAACAAGGTTATGTAGGTGAGGGTGTTTAAAGGGAGCCGCGGGAGGCAATATAGCAGTTCAGTTTGCTGAGCTGGCCACTGTCTGCACAGCTGCCCAGCAACTAGCATGTGTGATGCATGTCTTCAGGTTTCTGTTAAGGAGCCTTACCCTTTTGTAATGTCATGCAAGTGAACACAACATGGGATCGCTTTTTCAGGGACCAAATGGATCTCTGCTTTCACTGAAGGAATATATGGTGTTATGGTGTAACAGGTTGGAATTATAGCTTTATCCTTTGTGCTTTGCATGTACTTCATGATGGTGTTCTGTGCTAGAGGTAGGGGTAAAATAGGCCTGGTGTCGGAGACTGTCCTTCTGACAAAACAAAAGTAGATTGTAAACTTCTTTGAAGTTGATACGACATCACTGACCAGATCTTATGAAAAATGAATCGACCTTTCACAGGAATTTGATTGCTTTCTGCAGACTGTAGATTGTTTTGAGGAGTTACCCAGGTAGAGTGAAAGCCTGGAAAGTTATGATGTTGTCCATAGGGCTTTTTGTCAGGTATCTTTTCACATTTTGGTCTCTTATTCAATCTAAAGTAATTCCAAGCTTCTAATTCCCCAGTTGAGATTTTCATGAAATTCCCAAAACAGTCTCTCTGGTCATACAGGCTCATAGGCATGTTTTTGCTAGGGGCTCTGTGGGGTTGAGCCCTACTTTCCCCATTAGCACCAGTTACAGTACAGTGCATGTTCTTGACCTGAGATGGTGTATTTTTTCTTCTTTCCCTTTCCCAGCAATAGGCATACTGGATTGAGTCCTGGGTTTGTGAGTGTTTATAGCTTTGCTTTCTTTATAAATAACCTGCTTTCAGAAGCTCAATAGCTTCTGGTTAGAATTGTGCCCACTTACCATTTAAAGGTGTTAACAGAAAGGTATTACAAATTATTTCATAGCCTGGAGGGAACTTGCTAGTAGCTTTACTACATTTGAGGTGAAGAATTCCAAAGGATAATAAAAATGCAGGAGGTGGTTGTAGAGGAGGGAAGAGTGTTTAGGATTAAGCATTTTGCTAAAGGCTAAAATACTTTCTGGAAACGTGCCATGCCACCCTCAGTTTTTTGTTTTGATACCGTAATGATTAGGATCGTTCTGTGCTGTTACTGTTGTTCCTTGAGCCAGTTGATGTACTACAATGCAGATCAGTTTGTTTGTAGTAATCCCCTTCTTTGTTTCTGCTTGAGGCATGCAAATGCCAGCATGGTTGCATAGCAAATGTTTCTGAAGAGGTGATGGAGTGTAGTACTATGGAGTAGTTGAGCACTGTTTCGTAGTACAGGCTGCCTTTGGTAGTCCAGGCTAGCCTGGGTTCTAGCTCCACTGTGTGTCATGGAACTCTCCCTCTGGCAGGGCTACTGCCTGTTAACAATTGTCCTGGACAGAATAATGCTGATTAACCCTGAATGTAGGTGACTCAGGGCTTCTTCATCACAACCCAAGCCCCTGTGAATTACCTGTTTCCCTTCAAAACAGATCTGATGTGCTCTGTAAGGAGACACTGTTGAAGGCACAGCAAAACGGTCTATCTGTACGGGCATGCCAAGGATG